TCCTCAGGCCCCCTCACCCAGCACCTCCTCAGGACCCCTCACCCAGCACCTCCTCAGGCCTCTTCACCCAGCCCCTCGTCAGGCCTCCTCACCCAGCACCTCCTCAGGCCTCCTCATCCAGCACCTCCTCAGGCCTCCTCACCCAGCACCTCCTCAGGACCCCTCACCCAGCACCTCCTCAGGCCTCCTCACCCAGCACCTCTTCAGGCCTCCTCACCCAGTACGCCCTCAGGTCCTTTGAATCTCCTCCACATCTGCCTAGTGTACTCTCTGCTCTAACTATGGGTGCTATATTAAAACATAGTCGTCCAAATGCAGCGTAGTCCTAGGGGTGTGACACAAGATCCTAACAACTGTGCCAGACAGATGTTGAAGTGCTTCACAAATTGCTGCATGTCCTCTGGAGAATAGACACTGATTATTTTTTTCTTGTTCGCCTGCAGATACATTTTAATACCTGGGGTCAAAGCTCCATCTGCTGAATTGCAGAACCCCTTACAAATATTTTACAGGTTTCAGCATGCATATTCTAATTCCCACATTTTATATCCAGGTATCTCGTGTTCTCTTTGAGATTCTTTGACTCATTCAAAACTAGGTGGATATTGCAGCTACTCTCCTATTTAGTCCAAGTGAACTGCACAATTTCCAAATTTTCAACTTTCTTCTGTGAAAAACAGCAAGCAATATTAAACCAGAGAAACTTCGTATCCCACAATCCATTTCCATGGCAACTTGGCATGCTTTAGGATGTTCCAAATAGAAATACAAACTAATTATCTTGCACCCAAGATAATTTAATTCTGTCAAACATATAATGAGTGATTTAGTTTGATATCTTCTGGCCTTACCATGAGCCTAGATATTCACCTTTCATCCCTGCTGCAGATGTCAGATCGGCCGTTCCAAGAGTGAACCCACAGAAAGCCACTGGCCCAGATTGTGTCCCCAGCTCTGCACTCGGATTCTGCATGTACCAGATGGCGAGAATTTTTGCTGACGTCTTTAACCTCTCCTTGCTACTGTTCAAAGTCCCCACCTGCTTCAAGCTGACCACCATCATCCTGATACCAAAGGAAACTCATGCAGTGTCCCTCAATGACTGCCACCCAGTGGCTCTGACTTCCATCATTATGAATATTTTGAAACATTAGTCATGGCTCACATCAACTCTAGCCTCTCCGCCCGGCCTGTCAGAAAAATTGAAGGTCTCTCTTCTTGAAACTGGAGGCTGTTGGAAAATTCCTCTCCCACTCCTGTCTTCTCCTCCCCTTTTACTTTCTCTGCCCGTTTTCTTCTTCTTTTCATCCATCCAGCTCATGGACAGGACCCCCTGACCTTTTGACTCCAGCAGTGGACAGGACCTCCTCCCAGCTCTGGGATGGAGACAGGAGTCACAGCGAATGATGATGGTGGTCTGAGGGGGAGACTCAGATGTAGGACTACAGAGAGTGCACCGAGAGGCTGGGGAATGGGGGCTGTAGTGTATTTGCCTCAGTGGGGTGCACTTTCTTTCAGCGACTGCCTGTATTCGTCTTTCCGTTCCAATCGCTTCCTTGTTTCACAATCTCGAACACTTCCTCTTCCCTCTCTCTCTCTCAATGGCGATGTGTAATTTTAATATGAGATGGGCTTGTGAGCTGCTCATTATCTCTGCCTTCTGTGTCGGTGAGTAACAATTTTTATATCCATTTTAGTTTAAATTCCATCCCATCTTGCTGATGGGGCTGGTACATTTCAACTGGGAGACTGCCTAAAACCCATTTGAATTGACAAAGTTACTCAGGGTACATTTACCCAGCTCTGAAATTGCACCAACAGGGTAGAGGGAGCGCTAAGACGGTGCAGGGAGATCATGAGGCTCCTGGATCCTCAAACATTAACACAACAACCTGCATTTGTTTAGCCCCTTTATCTTTGTAAATCCCAATGCAATTCTCAGGCCCCTTATGGAGCAAACACAGAGGGAGGGGGATGTTGGGGAACAGTTTAGGCATCTCAAAGAGCGAGGCTTTCAGGGATAAAGCTTGAGGTAAAGAGAAAGTTAGAAAGTGACAGAAAATGAAATACAGGAAAGGGAGAAACAGATAGAGAGACAGAGAGGCCATCAGAGATAGAGGAATGAAAGAGACAGAGAGAAACAGAGGGAGAGAGAAACACGGAGAGAGAAACAGAAGGACAGAGAGATAAACACAAAGAGAATCTGCAGGAGAGAGAGTCAGAGAGGGAGAGAGAGTGATGAGGGAGATAGAGAGAGAGAGAGAGGGAAGGATATTGAGTGAGGCAGAGAGGGAGATAGAGAGAGAGAGAGGGGGGAGAGAGAAGGAGAGGGAAAGACAGACAGAGGGAGGTAGACAGTGAGCCAGAGAGGGAGATAGAGAGTGAGTCAGAGAGGGAGATAGCGAGAGAGATAGAGAGAGAAGGAAAGAAGAAGATAGAGAGTGAGCCAGAGAGGGAGACAGAGAGGGAGATAGAGAGTGAATCAGAGAGTGAGATAGAGTGAGAGTTCGAAAGGAAGATAGAGAGGGAGTCAGAGAAGGAGATACAGAGAGCGAGAGGGCGATAGCGAGTGAGAGGGGGAGGTAGAGAGTGAGCCAGAGAGAGATATAGAGAGAGTGAGAGAGGGAGATAGAGAGTGAGCCAGAGCGGGAGATAGAGATATAAAGAGGGAAATAGAAAGTGAGCCAGAGATGGAGTCAGAGAAGGAGATACAGAGTGAGAGAGGGAGATAGAGAGTGAGAGTAACTCCTTGCTGGCCCTTTTCTGGGAGTGTTTGATGGGGAGACTGTCACGCCGGGAGACTGTCACACCAGGAGACTGTCACACCGGGACACTGTCACACGAGGACACTGTCACACCGGGAGACTGTCACACCGGGACACTGTCACACCGGGAGACTGACACACCGGGAGACTGTCACACCGGGAGACTGACACACCGGGAGACTGTCACACCGGGACACTGTCACACCGGGAGACTGTCACACCAGGACACTCTCACACCGGGACACTGTCACACCGGGAGACTATCACACAGGGAGACTGTCACACCGGGAGACTGTCACACTGTGAGACTGTCACACCGGGAGACTGTCACACCGGAAAGACTGTCACACCAGGATACTGTCACACCGGGAGACTGTCACACCGGGACACTGTCACACCGGGAGACTGTCACACCGGGACACTGTCACACCGGAAGACTGTCACACAGGGACACTGTCACACCGGAAGACTGTCACACAGGGACACTGTCACACCGGGACACTGTCACACAGGGACACTGTCACACAGGGACACTGTCACACCGGGAGACTGTCACACCGGGACACTGTCACACCGGGAGACTGTCACACCAGGACACTCTCACACCGGGACACTGTCATACCGGGAGACTATCACACAGGGAGACTGTCACACCGGGAGACTGTCACACTGTGAGACTGTCACACCGGGAGACTGTCACACCGGAAAGACTGTCACACAGGGACACTGTCACACCGGGACACTGTCACACAGGGACACTGTCACACCGGGAGACTGTCACACCGGGAGACTGTCACACCGGGAGACTATCACACAGGGAGACTGTCACACCGGGAGACTGTCACACTGTGAGACTGTCACACTGTGAGACTGTCACACCGGGACACTGTCACACCGGGAGCCTGTCACACCGGGACACTGTCACACCGGGAGACTATCACACCGGCACACTTCACACCAGGAGACTATCACACCGGCACACTTCACACCAGGAGACTATCACACTGCGACACTGTCCCTCCAGGTGCTAGGCCTGGAGCCCTTCTCCAGGCCGTTGGAAGCAGCCTTGTTGCTGGGCCTGTCCCCGGAGAAGTCGCCTTCAGCTGAAGCCAGTAAAATGAAAGTAAGGCACCACAATACATAGTAACTTAAAAGAATTAGCACTGAAAGTAGAAAATCGTAAAACAGAAGTAGAGGACAAGCTCCGCGCTACCAGGCTGAGGGGCCTGAACATTGTGTTGCTGCTCTGCTGCCATCTTTGAGGACAATGTTGTGAGAGAGGGTTTTTCTGTTTCCCAAGCACCTTCTTCTATGACTGAGTTTGTCTTGTTCCACACTGATTGACTGTGTCCTCTTGTTCCCTCAGTTCAGAGTCGGTTTGTCCATCCGCCTGTGAATGGATCCCTGGGCCAGTCAGTCTCCCTACCTGTGGAGATGCCAAACAAATTGAATGTTTCTGAGGTTAACTGGAAACGATCTTTAACCAATACCAAAATTGTTGGATTGTCAAGAAGCAACATTCAATATTTTGGCAGCGAAGAGTACAAGAAACGGATACATTTTCATCCTGGGAACTTCAGTCTCCAAATCAGTGACTTACAGAGAGAGGATACTGGGCAATATGAGGTAACTGTAACTGCAGTTTCAAGAAAACTAACATCAGAGACAGTTCAACTGGATGTTTACGGTGAGTATAAATCCCTCAGACATGTGTAACCTTCACCAGTTTCTGAATCTCTGCTTATTGCTACTGCTGAAATGCGGTTTCCAGAATGGCTCACAATAATCTTGCTTTGGGCTAACCAATGTGTTATACATTTCAAGCATAACATTCCTCATCTCAACTCTATGCCTCGGATAATGAAGGCATGAATCGTTCTGTTCTCTCCACTTTATCCATCTGTCCTGATACATTAAGGAGCATTCACACACATACCACAGTCCCTCTGATCCTTGGTGCTTCCCACGGTCCTACTGCTCATCATAAAGTCATAGAGTCTTACAGCATGAAAACAGACCCTTTGGTCCATCTAGTCTATGTTGAACTGAACTAGCCCCACCTGCCTGTTCCTGGACCCATATCCCTCCAAACCTTTCCTATTCATGTACTTATTCAAATGTGTTTTAAACATTGTAACTGTACTCACATTACCACTTCCTCAGGTAGTTCATTTCACATGAAAACCGTACTCTGCGTAAAAAAAAAATTGTCCCCCATGTCTTTTTCAAATCTCTCTCCTCTCATCTTAAATATGTGCCCCATTTTCCTGAAATCTCACACCCTAGAGAACAGACCGCTACCATTAACCCTATCTATACCCCTCATGATTTTATAAACCTCTATAAGGTCACCGGTCCTGATATCTCAAGGGACCAGTGTACATAAACACCAATGTCCCTCTAATCCTAGGTTCTTCCAAGGGCATTAACGGCCATCAAAAAGGCCATTTCCTTGTGTCTCCTGCCCAAATGCATCACCTCATACTGATCCGAACTGAATTCCATTTACCACAGACCAGCCTGTCTATAGCCTCCTGGAGTCACAGGCTCTCCTCCTCAGTATTTGCCTCACCACCAATATTTGTATCATCAGAGAATTTACAGACGAACCCTCCTACATTCCGGCCAAAATCATTGATACAACCAAACACAGCAAGAGGACCGACACTGATCCCTGAGGGGAGCCCACCAGACACAGACGTCCCATCACAAAACCACACATCACCACGACCGTCTGTGAGGATTCCCAGGGCTTCCTCATGTGTCTTTGTTTTTCAAACTGAATTTCAGAGCCTGTGACAGGAACAAACATCAGCATTGTAAGCATCACTAACTGCAATGTGACCCTGAGGTGCTCAGTGAACACAGGCAGTAACGTCAGCTTCACCTGGTGGAGGGGACAAGAAGCATTGGGAAACAACCTCACCCATCACGTCTTTGAAAATAGAGAGAGTTCGCAGCTTTTGTTCACAAAAGAGACCCATGAGAGTGTTGTGAGGTGTGAGGCCAGCAATCCAGTCAGTCACGAGATTGCACAGATCAAACTGGAAGATATCTGTAATGGAAATGTATCTGGTGAGTGTCACAGAAAGAAATAAGCTACTGCATTCAGATGTTAAACCTATCCTGGGAGTTTTTGATGGGGGATAGTGCAGGGGGAGCTTCACTCTGTATCTAACCCCATGCTGTCCCTGTCATGGGAGTGTTTGATGGGGACAGTGTAGGGAGAGATTTACGTTCCTTTTAAAAAATTAGAAGTAGCTTTACTCTGGATCTAACCTTGTGTTGTACCGGCTGTGGGAGTATGTGATGGGGACGATGTTGAAGGCCCTTCATGGTCAGTTTACATTCAGTTTAAAAAAGGAGAGAGAGCTTCCCTGTGCTTTACCAGCCCTGGGAACTTTTGAGTTGAATGGTGTAGAAAGCGATTTACTTTCTGTTTTCACAAAACGCTGGGGTATGTTTGGGAATGGTGGGGAAGGGTTGTAATCAAAATGGAATACAGCGTTCACCACTAAAGTTGTTGAAGTCAATCTTAAATCCTGAATGCTGTAAAGGACCTGGTAGTAAAATGAGGAGCTATTCCTCCAGCCTGCATTCATCTTTGTTATCATGTGAGTCAGATAGTACATTGAAATAACACCGACCTGGATGGCCAGGGACTTTATTCTAGGAAATATTAAAAAGAGTGACAGGAAGGGACAGAGTGGTGCTTCCCAACGATTTTCCAACTGTGACCTCATTTTGAGGCTTGAAAATTGTTGCAAACCCCCACTCCCAGGTGTGAACTAGAAAGGAGGGGGAAGAGACCTGTGAGAGAGAGGTGGAGATTTGCTGTGTTGGTGTGGGCTTCTCTGTTAGTGTGCAGCACAGTTCTTATAGCCTAGGACTGCATGACTCTCATTGCTTACTTGGAGTGGCAGCCCCAAAACTACTTCTGACCCGGCTTGGATCTCAACATGCACTTCGGGAAGTGCTGGGATGGGGAGTATGAATTTAAGAGTCAATCAACAGATCAGACAGAATTTACAAAGAGACTAAAAGGATCAGAGTAAAGAATCTGTGCCTGACTGCATGTACCATTTGAAAGAAACAGATGAACTGGGAGGATAAACAGAAATGAATGAGTGTGACCTGGTAGTCATTACAGAACCTGGGCTGCAGAATAATATGGAATGGAACCTACAGGAAATTTAGAAATGACTCACAACTAGAAAAAGGTGAAAGGGTATTGGTGTTGGTTAATGATGATATTAAACAATAGAACAGGATGACCTAAGATCAGGACAAAATTCTGAAGGCAGAGCTGGCTAAAGGGAGTTGACAAATTACGTTATATGATAGGTCAATACAGGCGCGGTGGCAGGAATTGAAGGGAATATTTCCAAATATGCAAAATAGATACATTCCAGTGAGTAAGTAAGTTACCCAAGGCTCATACCCACTATTAATGCTCAAACCGCAATATTACAGACAGTCTCAAACTGAAAGCAAAAGTGTATAATTGTGCAAAGACAGTCAACAGGTAAAATAATGCGGTGTCAAGGGTTATGCAGAAAAGGCAGGAATGTGGTGTGAGGAATGTCAGACTAGGCACAATCTTTTTGAATGGTGGAGCAGGCATGAGGGACCAGATGGCCAAGTCCTGTCCCTATTTCTTATGGCCTCATAGTCTAAGTTTGGACAAAGCACAAGCACAACAAAGAATGACCAGAAAATTAAGAAAATCAGTCAAGATACAACGATTTACATAGGAGGTTGGGGAGAGAGGAGATAATGAGCGACAATGTAAGGGAGCTACAGTAACATCAGTAGAGATACAGTCAGTAACACAGGGGGCTGGGGGGAGAGGAGTTACTGAGTGACAGTGTGAGGGAGCTGGGTTAACATCAGTACAGATACAGTCAGTAACACAGGGTGCTGGGGGAGGGGTTACAGAGTGACAGTGTGAGGGAGCTGGATTAACATCAGTA